ATAGAGACCTGACTGCTGGCATTTATAGCAGCGTACCGGGCCTCCGCCTTGGCCGCACCTCGCAACCTGGCCAGAACCCGTGCTACCACTCGCGCCCGCAACCGCCGACGCACCCAGTCCACCCTGCGCTCTTTTTACACTGTTCGAACTTGGACACTCGACTTTCCGATGCTTTCGCCCCCCCCCCCCGCATTCATGGCATGTGCCCTGGAAAATTTCATGGCTTGCTGCGTCATTCGCTGCAGTGCCAGTGCCCCCAGTTGACGCACCATTCTGCGAGCGTAGCAGCCGTAACAGCGGAGCTACCACCTTCCTAGACGATGGATCTGATAACATCTCCCGCGGTTTCGGACTCCCTCCGCCCGAGCACTCAGCTTTCTTTTTCGCTGTGGTTTTTGATTTGGCCTTCTCTTTCTACTGCTCCTGTTTACTCGCAGCTTGCACCGACGCGAACGCCCCTCTTACCGTGAAATTCGCGTTTTTATTACCAATTTTCGCGGTCTCGTTCGGCGCAATTCCTCGGTACGCGACTTCCGGCATCAGCGACTTCGGCGGTGATCGATAGCGATCGTCCATATGACGTTGACGCTCGTTTTTCTCGTCTCAATCACGAAGCTCTGCCAAAGTCCTTATTTTCCTCGTCCTGATGAACTTGCGCAGCTTCGGGTACAAATTCTGCTTGATTAACTCAAGCTACCTACGTTTCAAGAGCCTTGATTTCAACTTGCCCGCGATATATAAAAAGGCTGGAAGATATTCGCCCAACGATTCACCCTCGCCTTGAGTACGGTGGAAAAGCGCGTCATAAACTTTCTCACGCGGTCGTCGCGCCAAAACGATGGCTCCTACTCCATGGAAACTCGTCGGTCGCTGCTCCACATGCGCTCGCACGATCGTTGTTTGTGCATCGGCAAAATCTAGCAGTGCCCTAGGACCTGCTTCGCGCGAATCCTGCCCTGCAACAATGCCATTGGTGACGCAAGCTCGCGCCTCCGACAACCCCGCATAGCCATACTGCGTGTCCTTGACGGGTGTGCACCGCGTATTTACCACTGTACGCACAGCCACATCTAGGGTTTCCCACAGCGATCCCGTCTGTGCCGCTAATACGATAGTCGCATCAAATGCAGTCAGGATTTCGTCTGCCAGAAAATTCTCCATTCCGACCGGTGGTGCCGACTCATAACGTGCGCTAAATAAAAATGCGCTAAGCGCCTTGTCCTGCACAATTGCGATTGTGCCATCGGAATCTAAACCTTAAGCAATCATCTGCATTAATCATTCCTGGAACTGCATTTCTTGAATGCGCCCCCATAGCTCTCTAATAGCAGGTATATTCATTACCTGTCGCCTAAAAGTTTCCAGCCGCAGTTGCGACTCAGTCACTCTCAGCCGTTTCGATGATCTTGCCCACGACATCTCAACATTCACTACTCCGGCGCAACCAGGTGAACGACCCGAGATTTATTGTTTAATCAAGCGGTTCAACGTGCCTAATTTGTGTTTCTTCACAGCGATGACTGGTATGAACTCGCAACACAAGGTCTTAATCGCTACTTAACAAGTAAACACATCCAACCTTCGTCCGATCGGATTAATAGTCACAACAGCCAAGAGCGGAGATTCTAAAATCACTCAACACACACAATGAACACATTAGTCAAAACACCAGGCTCGACCCATCGCTGTGTACTTAACGTACTTATTTAATTTAGCTCTTACTAATCTCACGAGAAAAACAAAAACAACTTAGCTTCCGCCCGTTTTACTAGCTCCGGGCTTCAGCGTGACCTAAGCTTAGTGGGTCAACGACATAACATAATATAAAAACGAAAAGGCAAAATAAACGTCAATAAACAAATAATTGAAATTAAAAATTAAAAAAAAAATGTCTCAGTTTCCCACTAGCACTTGCTCGTAACAGTGAATTCGGTTAATTACACCGCGAACAGGCAATGTACCGCACTAGTATTATTACTGAATAAACAAATTCAAATTTTATAAAATACCTCGTTTAATCCGCGTGCGCGACTTTCTTTGCTTATAGCCTAACAGAGACTCCCCAATTTTTCCGCGATCATCCGCAATTCGAGCGCTCTCTCTCTCCTTTCTTCTGCGCCATCTCCATCGCTGCAGCCGTCATCTCAGTCCGTTTACAGCACCTCGTAAACAAAAATCCAAGCATGAGTGTGTGTACCACACGCACACACTCTCAGCTTGGCGCGGTGCACGGATATTTGCGAGAGCCAGACGGACGAAATCGGCCTAGTCGAGATTCTCCTTTACAAAGGAAAGGACCGGTTGTCACACAGCTCGCAGTAAAAGTTGCGCCTAGCTACGAGAGCGCACCCACTTCCATGGTCGTACATTCGGTGACAATCGTCAGTACTCCTCGCGGCAGTAGATTACCACGAGGTAGCCTTACCCTTCGAGTAGCACAGCCACCCTCAAGGGGGAAGTCGAAGGGCAATCCCCTAGGATTCTATTACAAGGTGTGAGGGCGCAAACACCCAGATACCGTGGCTCGGTATACTATGCTACGTCAAAACGGGAGTTTGTAATATTGCCCAGCTCTGTCCGCTTGTTCGCAAACGGCTGAGTATATGCGTTATAACGTGTGATAAACCACTCGTTATATCTCTCTCTCTCAAACAACCACTCTTATATATATATACTTATATACTTATATTTATATTAATTTATGTAATTTTATGTACAAAGCCTAGAAGTGGCTGCCGCAGCAGACAATAGAGTATGAGGTACGAGAGAGAGAGAATACTTAATTTGCAACGCGAACTAGCGAGAGGAAGGATAAGCTCGTGCCGATCCAAACCGAAGGCGCGCTGACGTGCGAGAGAGAGACGGCCGCGCGACAGGAACCGACTTAGGCTCGACAGAGTAGGGGAGAGAGAGTGGGGAACGCTCCCGCGACATTAGCTTGAGAATCGCGGCCAAAAACACACGTGCTCCTGCCGGCCGGCTTTCAAAAAGAAGTCGAGATATTACTCATCTTCATAGAAACGTTCTGATTTGGCCCAGCGGCAGTAGAAAGGAGAGACTTCCCACCGTAAATAGTGCACAGTGTTGCAAGTTAGTGTGTGGGACTATTCCGGTGCAAGCTAGCCAATCGTCCCCCTGTATTCAAGCATTTGATAAGGCTCATCCGTGGCCTCGTGCGCATTTGTAAGTACCTACTTGTGTACCTTGTCTCTCTCCCGCTAGCTAGTTATTCTCTCTCTCTTTATCGCCGCGCTGCTTTCTATGTAAACTTACAAGCTGTATAAATATCATTTATTTTATGCAACCCATTTTCTTATTTACACCTGACTCTACAACTTTCCACGCTTTTCCCGTCGGTAAATTAACTTGAAGACTAGCTGCTGAACCCACGACGCTCCCGCGGGCCTTAAGGCGTAACTAAGTATCCGGGCATAGTCTCATGTGGTTCTCGTACGCCCGCATCGAGCTGTATAAAATATTTATTGATCTCTCGCGAAATAACGCGGGCAAATATCTACCACGTTATAGCGTAGAAGGCAAAAGTTCTTTCCGTGTACGTGTGTGACCGCCTGTTGGGCACCGGTGATGGTGCAATTGTGGTGGTATCGCCACAACTCATTTTAACCCATTAACGTCCAAAATGTCAAAATTTCTTGCACGTTTTCAAAGTGATTTTTTCCTATGTAATTGGCGTTGAAAAAATTCTTGAACCACATATTCTGATGTAAAATTGCATGCTCTTTCAGAATCCGTTGCCAAAATCATGATAAAACTCACAGGAAAAGAGATATACTCGATTGAAATATAAAAAACACTTAAATTTTCGAAAAAAAAAAATTTTTAGGATTTTTTTTCGAAGTGTTACGGTGAAGATATCACCTTGCGACCGTGATCAAAGGTGATCATGGGATTTGAAGTTTAACAGGGAATTTTTTTGTTTACCTTGAACCATCGCTTCTTTACAAAATGGCGGAAAAAACGAATTTTTTTTTTTCAATCTTCATCAATTTTTTTCTTAAAATCTATGGACTTTAGAAAAAAATTCATAAGAACAAAAATGCCTTAGAATCGCTTGAGGAATATTGTCAAATTTTTTCAGAATTTTTTGAGACATTTTTGAAAATCCCATTTCCCAAGTTTCCCGGAAAATCAAAAATTGTCTCAAAAAATTCTGAAAAAATTTGAGAATGTTCCTCGAGTGATTCTGAGACATTTTTGTTTTTATGAATTTTTCTCTAAAGACCATAGATTTTGAGAAAAAAGTTGATGAAGATTGAAAAAAAAAAAATTCGTTTTTTCCGCCATTTTGTAAAGAAGCGATGGTTCAAGGTAAACAAAAAAATTCCCTGTTAAACTTCAAATTCCATGATCACCTTTGATCACGGTCGCAAGGTGATATCTTCACCGTAACACTTCGAAAAAAAATCCTAAAAATTTTTTTTTTCGAAAATTTAGGTGTTTTTTATATTTCAATCGAGCATATCTCTTTTCCTGTGAGTTTTATCATGATTTTGACAACGGATTCTGAAAGAGCATGCAATTTTACATCAGAATATGTGGTTCAAGAATTTTTTCAACGCCAATTACATAGGAAAAAATCACTTTGAAAACGTGCAAGAAATTTCGACATTTTGGACGTTAATGGGTTAAAGAAGGCACAAATATGCATTTTTTTTGTTCAAGCTTTTTAAAGATCTGAGTGACTCAAAAGTTACATTTTTTTTGTAAGTTGAAAAAAAAAAACAAAAACGTTTAGTTTTTGTACTGCAAAAAATACTATTTCTTTTTTCGAAAATCCGTCGAAATATTAATTATATTACTTCACTCATTAAAAAGTGCATTCGTTCACTCTATTCTAAATGGAGCCATAAAACTTTAAATTCTATCTAATTTTAGTATAAACTGATAACATACTATACATACAACTGTAGATGATAAAAATTAAAAAATAGAAATTAAAAAATAAAACAATTTATTTACTAATACTTATTATTTTCAAGGTTTCGGCATTTGGATACCATGGTCAGGCTTAAACCAAGTAATATCGACAGTCGACTCAGCAATAGTTATAATGATAGTCCTACGCAATCACCATCAGTTTCACCATCTCGTGATAAATCATGTATTGAGAAATACTAACCTGAATACCCAACCCATTAACAATATGCAATTTAGTTAGATATATGAGTTACCATTTAGAGGTTTGAACTTTTCATGTATTGGAAAGTAAATAATTTTCAATAAATTGGTCACAATTCTGTGTTATTATTTAATCATTATTTACTGAACTAAATTATTTTTTTATTGTTCTTCAATGTTTATCACAGTAAGATTTTTACTCCTATTTGATTTTTAACCGATTCTTGATTTAACCGATATTTGATTTAAAAACTATCATAGATGACTAATTTTAAGTAATTCGTATGTTCGAAAATCATAAATATAGTTATTTCATAAATACAAAACTACGGAAAAAAATTATATGAATAAAAAATTATATATGTATTTTCAAATTCGCATTTATCAAATCACCAATTTTAAGGATGTTTACTTGCTCAGAAGTTACAGTTTCGTTTGTTTATAAAATAGTATAGTCTTGAAAAGTATGAAATAAATCATTTAAATAGTCGAAAATCTGTTTTAGAAATGAAATTTATCCTAATACCACATTATTTATCAACGTCTACATAATCCACATCTCAAATTTAAAGACTCAATATTGATTAAAAATAATTATATAATTGTGTTACGTCTAGATAAAACTGACACAAGCAAGATCGACATAAGAACGTCGTCAATTCGTGTATCGTTGTTGCTGACTCTGTAAAAGAGCTCTTAAAAAAGTATTGTCATGAAATTGAGTGGCAAAGGCAGGCAAAATTAGTTAACAATGTAAAAATCACAATTGATTCGCGAGCGGGAACTAGACGTAAAACGTTTCCGCCTGTGTGAATGTCAGCAAGAACGAAGCACACTACCTCCAAGCGCAAATATCAAATTTCCCTAACTCGCGATGAGCCAGTCAGTATAGCTCGGTTATCGTATTGAATTATACAACTCTCTTCCGATAATAGTATATAAATTATTGCTCAATTCTTAGTTTATCCTTTTTATCATTCCTTTTTCTTTTTTCAGAAATAAACATTTCGGAGCACACCAGTGCAAAGGACAATTATAAGCATATTTATTTTTCAATTGCTGTTTATTCCGCTATTAACATTGTTGTTAGTATTATAAAAATGTTATGCGAGATCTGTTTGGAAAGTATCGGGCTCATTTTGATATCTCTGCGCCATAGTGTTTAATCGACCGGACATGAATGTCAACAGTGAAGCCTCACGAACCTATCGATTGCTTCCTAACATCTCCCGGACGTATAGTTCATGCACAGCGTATCTTTGTTTACAAAGTTTTACTTTTTTTTTTTGACGAATTTTGTGATTATTAAAAATAACTGCAAAACAAGATCAACGAATTTGCATCAAGTTTTGCTTTTAAGTTGAAAAACGAGTTTGGAAACTATTCAGATAATGTAGAAGGCCTTGGAAAATAAGTGTATGAGCAAAACATGAATTAAAGAATGGAATAATTGTTCCAAAGGAGATCGTACTTTTGTTGATAGTAATTCTCTTCCTGGTCGACTTTTGATGATAAAAACATTGGATAATATTAAGCAGGTGCGGCTTGCGATCGAGCAAGATCGTCGTATGTGTGTGTGGAAACTACAAGAATGTTTTAGAGTACCAAAAACTGTGGGGACACCTCCGTCCCTTTCTCTCGACGCCTCGCGGCAGCACCGTCGCAAACAGCGACTCAAGCCCCGGAGTTGGCTCGCGGCTTCAGTTAAGCAAGATGGCTGCAGAGCGCGAATGCCAATCTCTGGTTACTAGCTTACTAGCGTGATTAACCTAAGTGCCTTGTACCGGATGTAATAAATATATTGTTGAGATTGAACCGAGCTAGTTGATATCGTTATTTCCACCTTACACAATAACCACAGTGGTGACCCCGACGTGATTGTGGTGGATTCTTATTCGGCAACGTGGCCGAAGAAGTAGCCGGTTCGCAGCCATCCACGCCGCCATTCTCCACACCTTCGTCAACCCCTGAGAGAAGTTGGCGTGAAGCGCTTCCCTCATTGAGACCTTCCCTCTGTACTACGGAGAAGAAAAAGGGAACTGAGAGTATGGCTGGTGGGGACAACGCCAGCGAGGGCGGAAACAACAGCCAACCGGGCGACCCGCCGCCGCCGCCTCTGCAACAAGTGGCCCAGAGCACGGCCGTCGTGGAAACGGTGCATAACTGCAAGATACCGCCGTTCTGGAAGTCGTCACCAGAGGCGTGGTTTTACCAGGTGGAATCCGCGTTCAGCTGCAATCAAGTTCGTGCCGACGGCACGCGCTACAACCTCGTCGTGGCCGCCTTGGACAGCGAGGTCGTCGAGCAGCTACTCGACGTTTTGCGCGCCGCGCCGGACACGGGCAAGTACGCATACCTAAAAACGCATATACTGTCACGTTTTTCCGACACACAGGAAAAGCGCCTGCGCACCCTCTTCAACAAGCTGGACGTGGGTAATCGTACTCCCTCACAGCTGTTGCGTCATATGCGCGCCCTTGCTGGAAACAACGTGGGCGACGAGGTGCTCAAGGTCAGGTGGCTGGACTACCTTCCGGTCTCCACACAGAAAATCCTGCGAGTGCTTAAGGACGCCTCGCTCGACGACCTGGCAGAAGCAGCGGATCAGATGGCAGACGTGCCGCCCCAGGTGTCGGCCCTCGGGCCTGGCAGAGGCTCGCGCGGCGCTTCGCCCCACCGCGGCGCATCGCCACATCGTGGTGCGTCGCCTCATCGAGAAGCAGCTGCCTCCGCACTGGCAACCGAGATGGCGGGCATGCGCGCCTGCATGTCCCAGCTTCTGGCAACGATGCAGCAGCTGCTGGACGCGATGAAGACTCATGACAACGACCAGCCACGGTCAGGACGGCGTCGCAGCAGAGACCACAGCAACACTCGCTCGAAGTCACCGACGCCTGGATCAAGCGAGTACTGTTATTATCATTACCGCTTTGGCATGGATGCTCAAAAGTGTCAGCAGCCCTGCGCCTGGAAGGGGCCTGCGGGAAACTAGGGGCGCTGCCGTCTGTCCAGGCGGCACACGGCAGCGAATTGCCTAAGGAAAACCGCCTCCACGTCCTCGACAAGAACTCCGGCTTGAATTTTCTTGTCGACTCCGGATCAGTCGTCTCCCTGCTGCCACGCTCAGCGGTGCGCCGGCTCTTGACCAAGGAATCCCTGCAACTCACAGCTGCCAACATGTCGCCGATTGCGACGTTTGGCCGCTGCATGCTAACCCTCAACCTAGGGCTCAGGAGGGACTACACCTGGCCATTCATAATAGCGGACGTTCAAGGAGCCATCCTGGGAGCCGACTTCCTGGCGCACGCAGGCCTCCTAGTAGACATGCAGCGCATGCAACTGATTGACTCGACTACCACCCTCTGTGTGTCGGCTCAAGTGCGAGCGGTACACGTTCACACCGTAGCCTTGCTGAGCAGTCCTCAACAAGACGAACTCGACCTCGGCGCCAGAAAGCAGTATGACCAGCTGCTGTCCGAGTTCGTGGACATCACCAAACCAAGGAAGGCGCGAGCCACGCTGCACGGAGCGCCCGTGAGCCACCGAATCCACACGGAGGGACCGCCAATCTCTGAACGTCCTCACAGACTGCATGGCGAGCGCCTGCTAGCAGCCAAGTCTATCTTCAAGGACCTCCTGGACCGAGGCATCATGCGTCCCTCGGCTAGTCAGTGGTCCAGCCCGCTCCATTTGGTCCCCAAGGCAGATGGTTCCTTTCGTGCAACAGGCGACTACCGACGCCTTAACGCGAGTACTCTGCCAGACCGCTACCCGGTTCCCGTAATCGAGGACATGCTGCACAACTGTCACGGTGGCAAGGTTTTCTCGACGATAGATTTGGAGCAAGCATTCTACCAGATACCCATGGCCGAGGAAGACATTGAGAAGACGGCCGTGGCCACGCCCTTCTTCGGCCTGCTGGAATATCTGTGCTTACCGCTGGGCTTAAGAAATGCCACCCAGACCTTCCAGCGGTTCATGGATTCCTTGCTGCGAGACTTGCCCTTCGCCCAGCCTTACATCGACGATGTAGTCGTCGTTTCCAGGGACCACGAGGAGCACTTGCTGCATCTACGCAAGCTCTTCGAGGCTCTCCGAGCTGCCGGACTCTCGATCAAACTCAGCAAGTGCGACTTCGGCAAGTCAGAGGTCAACTTTCTAGGCTACACCCTCACGCCAGAAGGGTTCCGGCCCCCAGAGCACAAGAAATCAGATATTGAGAAATTTCCTAGGCCAAAGGACACCCAGGAGTTGCGCAGGTTCCTGGGGATGCTCAACTACTATCGACGCTGTATTCGCAACACTGCACACCTACTGGCCCCGCTGGACAATCTACTCCAGGGGCCACCCAAGCCCAAGCGTGCGAAGCTATCCTGGAATGCGGAAGCTGAAGAAGCCTTCATACGAAGCAAGCAGGCCCTGCGTGACGCCACTGTGTCCTCCTACCTGTCGCCGAAGGCGCCACTAGCCCTCTCAACGGATGCATCGGATGTGGCAATAGGTGCTGTCCTGGAGCAGCACGTGGACTCCGTGTGGCGGCCGGTTTCATACTTCTCCAAGAAGCTCACGGAGACAGAACGCAGGTACAGCACTTACGATCGTGAGTTGCTCGCTGCGTACCTTGCCGTCAAGCATTTCCGTCGTTTCTTGGAGGGTCGCAGTTTCCTACTCAAGACGGATCATAAACCGCTCGTATTCGCTGGCAAGCAGGCGTCAGACAAGGCCTCGCCGCGGCAACATAGGCATTTAGACTACATCCTGCAATTTAACATCGAACTGCTTCACGTCAAGGGCGAGGACAATGTTGTCGCCGATGCCCTCTCCAGGATATGCACCATCGAGATGCCATCCGGACTCCGAGCCCGCGACATTGAAGTCGCGCAAGAGAGAGACGAGGAGCTTCCAAACCTGCTGAGCTCCGGTGCCTTGAACCTGCAATTCCTGCACGTCGACGACGCGGACATAGCGTGCAACATTCAGGGCAGTGTGGTCAGGCCCTACTTGCCCCAGTCACTCCGACGTCAAGCCTTTGATGTCCTCCACTCGCCAGCTCACCCGAGCGCTCGTGCCACTGTAAGACTATTGTCGGACAAGTTCGCCTG